TGCAGAGCAGAGCACAAGCATGGAGCAGAAGTCAAAGTGAAGGCGCTGCAGGAGAGGAAAATCACCTCCCAGCCCAGGCAGGCCTTCCATGGTGTGGTCATCTTTAGAAATTTTGTACTTGATGTCTGTGAGGTTGCCTGTTGTATTCTTAATACAAATTCCCTTAAGCCAACTTAGAATAGGTCAAGATAAATGTAATGACTTGACTTGGCCAGAGTGCAGTGGCGTGATCACGGCTCACTGTAGCCTCAACTTCCTGGGCTCAGGTGATCCACTTCTGCCTCCCGAGTAGCTGGGACTACAGGTGTGAGCCAACTTGCCCAGTTAATTTTGTGTTATCTCATGAAAATATTTTTTTCAAAGAAATCTATATACATTGAATATCACTGACTGCTTCCCACTATTACGTCTTCTGTGAATGTGTAGGTGTTTGAGTCTCTTGTATTTCTTCTTTTACACAGGATATGGGCTGTTTGAAAACTATTTCATTATCTTCATCATCATCATTCATTTCAGGCACTCAGATTTCGTTTCTTTAAAAATGTTGATCTTACAAACCAATGTGTGGGGCCGTAGATATCCACTGTCTTCTCAGGAGTGTCAGAAGTGCCTAAAACCTTTTTCTTCTTCTTACATAAAACCTGGGCTATTGTAGACATCTGACAATTCATTTTTGAAATGCTTTCCATTTTCTGTAAAATCAGAGAAGGAAAATCATAACGAATTCCTTTTTAATCTAATTTCTTCCTGAGTAATCCTTCTTTCTTTTAAATAAACTCCTCCTTCCGTAGCTTTTGTTTAAGTGCTGATTCTAAGTATATATTTCACTGATGGATATGATGGCTGGGCAAGTAGAATATTCAGTCTTGAAAGAGCTCTTTTTCTATATACTTTTCAGGTGGCATAAAAAGACTCTCCAAGAGTCTTTCACCAAACAGGTAGTTGTTCATTGTTTCAGCAACTATCTTGGCAAAAGCTTCAGACCGACTCCTGATCATCGTTTGCTATTTCCCGGCCTTTTATTTCGGGATAGTCTGAACCTTGTAACAGTGCCTTGTAACTGGGAGAAATAGGAAAGGATCTGGATTTCATTCAGTAGGTTAGGTAGGTGGCACACAGACTACTCCAGAAGAAAGTTGTTCTAGTTTTGTGCTTGGTTTTGTTTCTGGGATGGAGTTTCACTCCTGTTATTTGCCCCAGGCGGAGTGCGTGGCATGATCTCTACTCACCACAACCTCTACCTCCTGGATTCAGCCCGATTCTCCTGCCTTAGACTCCTGAGTAGCTGAGATTACAGGCGTGCACCACTACACCTGGCTAATTTTTATATTTTTGTAGAGACAGGGTTTCTCCTGTTGGTCAGGCTAGTCTGGACTCTGGACCCAAACAATCTGCCTGCCTTGGACTCCCAAAGTCCTGCGATTATAGGCATGAGTCACTGCACCCAGTCCAGCCTTGACTTTGAAATATATATTTGTACATCCAGTCAGCAGTGAGTCTGGGGAACACCAAAGATGAGAAAAATGAGAAGAATGCCTCCAATTAAAGGAGTTAAGACCAGATGCTTGAACTTATGTTTTAAAAAGGTCACTGCAGGTTGGGCACAGTGGCTGATGCCTGTAGACAGAGCACTTTGGGAGGCTGAAGTGGGTGAACCACTTGAGCCACAGAAGTTTGAGACCACCCTGGGCAACATGGCAAAACTCATCTGTACACAAAATAAAAATAGAATTAGCCGGGCGCGGTGAAGCTGTGGTCCCAACTACTTGGGAGGCTAAGGTGGGAGGTTGAGGCTGCAGTGAGCTGAGATCCACCACTCCCACTGCAGCCTGCATGACAAGTGACACCTGTCTTAAAAAAAAAAAAAAAAAGTAGAGGCAGGCAGTGGCTCAAGCCTGTAATCCCAGCACTTTGGGAGGCGGAGGCGGGTGGATCACGAGGTCAGGAGATCGAGACCATCCTGGCTAACACGGTGAAACCCGTCTCTACTAAATATTACAAGCTGGCGGGCGAGGTGGCGAGTGGATCACGAGGTCAGGAGATCGAGACCATCCTGGCTAACACGGTGAAACCCCGTCTCTACTAAATATTACAAAAAACTAGCCGGGCGAGGTGGCGGGTGCCTGTAGTCCCAGCTACTCGGGAGGCTGAGGCAGGAGAATGGCGTGAACCCGGGAGGCGGAGCTTGCAGTGAGCCGAGATCTGGCCACTGCACTCCAGCCTGGGCGACAGAGCAAGACTCCGTCTCAAAAAAAAAAAAAAAAAAAAAAATTAGTGTTTTGTGGTTTTCTGGGTGAAACCTCTGTTTCCATAAGAAAAAAAGCGGGTTCAGACAGTTTGTATTACTAATTCAAAATCATAACCAGATGCTTAAAGTAAATCATTGTATCTATTGTGTGGCTAAAGAGTCTCTCCACCTATGACCCTCCATCTCCTCATCCTTTAGAGAGTGGAAGAATGAGATCACCCACAGATCCCTACTCATCCCACTTCCATCCTCCCTACCCTTTCCCTACCACACACACAAACGTATTCTGGCCTGGGAAGAAGTTACTGTTTTATTAACTGCAAGGACCCTGTCATCCAACACAGGGCACCAGGTCCACGTGAAGGGGGGCCACACCCACTGTCGGTTGCATTTTCAGATTAGAGATCCTGAGAGCTCAAACTGATAACTGTCTTGGAAATGGGCAACAAGGCCAACTTTAATAGGAAACTGCTACCCAGGTTTTTTCATACATCCACTGTCAGCAGAAGAGGCCCTGCCAGGCCACAGGGCAGAGCACTGAGCCATGCTGTCCCACAAAGGCTCTAGGTGGCCTGTCCAGGGGATTTGTTGCCCTGGAGACTGCTGGTGTACACTGAGCCCTGATCCCCACCCCAGGGTGAACTCAGATTCCTGCTGCAGGCTGGGCTTGTATCCCTCTGGGCAGCTCTATGACACTTGCTGGGGTTCTTGCGGGTTGGAGGAGCATGAGGCTTAAGAGCCCAAGCCAGGTTAGGACTGGAGGCCCTGGTCCCAGTCACTCTGCCCAAGAGACCCACAGCCCCTGCCCCGGCCACCTTTCCCTCCAAGGCCCAGGGCCCAGATGACCTTGCAGGCTCCGGCCCTCCCTCTGTCCTCCAGCCTGGCCTGCTCTCCATTGTTTGCTGACCATGTGGCCATGCACAGGTGGATGTCCTGGAGCACGTCATGAGTGCCCACCAGCAGTGACGCCAAGGACTTCATCAAGGCCACTCTGCAAGGGGGACAGGGAGTGCACACCCGTCCTCCTGCCCACCCTGTGGAGCTGTTGGGCCCTGCCCTCTGCCACCCTCAGAAGCAGCCAGGCCCTCAGGATCAGCTGACCCCAGCCCGGGGCTGACCTCCATGCTACCTCTTGTTCCCAGTGCTTTGTCACAGCCTGTAGGTTGAGCAGGCTTGACAGACTGGCTTGCTCACTCCCATATTGTGCAGGGAGGGAAACTGAGGCCAAGGTAGGTAGAATCCTGCTGAGGTCACAGGACGTAGTGGCTGCAGATTTGAGGCTGGATCCCAGGCCCGTGCCCCCAGCTCAGAAGGATCAGGGTCTTCCATGGGCCCATTTCCTGGAATAATATAGAAGCCCTAGTCGGAAAGAGACATGGAGCCATCCTAACCTTTGACCTCTCACCTGCCCCACCTAGGATGAAAGGCTCTGGAGGCCTGGGTTCGGCCAAGAATCAGATGAAACCTGGGAGACACCTGGGTGTGATGATTGCAGGGCTGGGCTGGTGTAGCCTGCTGAGGGGCATGGGAGGTGTTTCTCCACCAGGACCCTGTGGTTAGGCACCCATGAGCCAGGAGCACCAGGGCCTCCTCTTTTGGGTAGCTCTGCTCTTCCTCGCCCTCAGAAGTCCACTTCCTTGATACCCAGCAACTCAAGCTCCTCGTGGCAGGGAACAGTGCTCCACTGGCAAAGCCAAGGATGCACTGCAAGGCTGGCTAAGGCTCAGCTGCGCGTCAGATACTGGCCGCACCCACCTGGCATTGCTCTGCATGCCCCACTCCCCTCCGGTGTTCCTGGTGTACTTCAAGTCCATCCTGATGACACATTTCACCTGGAGCTGCTCCGGTACAACTTGGAGCCACCCAGCACCTGTTCAGGGACACTAGTGGGGCATTTCCAGCAGCTTCTCCTCAAACTAGGTCATTCTGTGTGCCCAGGTCAAGTCTGCGTCCTTCCCCCAGCACGCACTCCTGTTTCGCAAGGCTTCCTCCAGCCCTTGGCCAGCCTGATCAAGGAGGGCCAGGTCTGTGATGGGGCTGCTTCCCACACTGCCTGAGTCACTCCATGCCTGGAGGGCTGAGAGTCAGTACCCAGAGAAAGCACATTGCTGGGGACAGGGGTGACCCGGCCTAAAAGGGTGGTGTCCACTGCTGGCTTCCTCTAGCCTCAGGCTGTCTCAAAAGGGAGCTCCATGCAGGGCCCCAGCTTCTCCCTGCCCTGGATGCTGTCCTCAAGCCCAGGAGGCCCCAGGCTGTGCCCCAGGGACACTGGGCCTGCAGGTCCGTCATCCTGGCTTGTTCCCATTCCCACTCAAGGAGGTCTGGCTCTGGCTGGAAACTAAACATATTGCTTTGACACCAATGTCAGAAGCCCAAAGAATTAAGAGTAAAATACCAAGACGGTTTGGTATTTTAAAGGAAAGTAAAGGAAGCTCTAGGAAACGTTATGTCAAAATCTAAATAAAATTTTACTGGGTTTGAAAGCATTGGGCACGTTCCCGTGAGACCCCCAGGGTGAGGCCTGTGCTTCCAGGGAAGGCAGATGGGGCCCGCAGAGCCTGGCCACAGGTGGCTCAGGAAGGTGCTTAAAGAGTGTGGCCAAATTTTCTTAAGATTCAAAAGGAAAACCAGTTATTCCCAGTAAGGACATTTTTCAGCTTGCAGGTGAAGTCCCAGGGTGCAGAAGGGCTGAGAGGAGAGGTCGAGATTGGTGGCTGAGGGGCTGGTCCCAGGGGCCCGAGTATGGGCAGAGTCACTCCTGGTGATGAGATGGTGACAGGGATTGCTGAGAATGGTGGGGGGCTCCTCGCTCCTCCGGCTTTGGCCTGGCCCCAGGTCGGTGCAGACGGGCGGGGGTTACCTGAGCCTAAGTCTTTCAGAGAAGCCTTAGATGGAGGTGCAGGGGCAGGCCTCTGTGCAGGCGGGCCCTGGGGACTGCAAGGAGCCCCCTGCATGCTCCTGGGCCAAGATAGGGGCTTCTCTTGTGGGCTCCCAGGAGAAACAGCAGGTGCATCTGCCTTCTGCGGGGAGTAGGTGATTTCTCCGCTTATCTCGTTCACCCAGAAAAACATGTCTAGAGGTTTCTGCCCCTGTCCAAACTGACTTCTAGACATACCTAAAAGGGAGAAAAGTGACAACACAGGTGGGCCTTCCAGCCTCCAGATGTCGGGTGGAGGGTCAGGGGGAACTGCCAGGGCCTGGGCTTCCCTCAGCCTGAACCTCTTACTAGGGGACTCTCTCTCCTGGAGCGCCAAGCCTTCCCGGGACAGGGACAGGCCTAACTCGAGGCTCCAGATGAATTCTAGGGTCATTTTCTTCTTAAATGGTCTTTTCAAAATGTTTTAATCTTAACCAAGTACATGCTAAGTATACTTTACATCCTGACCTAGTTCAGAGATGTGTGTGTATACCAATAATTTCATGGAATGTAAATAGTTATACGCAATAGTGTCTGATATTTTTTATGTAATTAAATCTACTATATTCCTTAAGAAAATGCTGATTGCCATGCGAATTTGTGTTGTAAGGAAAGCAGCAATGATGAACCATAGCTTGAAAAACACAGTCTTCAATTAAGGATGGAGAATCTGATACAAAAGACCAAAAAAAAAAAAAAAAAAAAAAAATTCACTCTTGCAAAGTTTACACAAACATGACTATGTGTGGTTAGCAGAATGGTCCCCCAAAGATGGCCCTGCCCTAATCCTTGGAACCCATAACTGTGTTTCATTATATGGCAAAAGGGACTTTGCAGATGTAATTAAAATTATGGACCTTAAACTAGGAATATTATCCTGGATTATCCACGTGGCCCAATCTAATCACTCGAGCCCGAAAAGGCAGAGAGCTTTCTCTGACTGGCATCACAGAGATGCAGCAGCAGGAGAAGTGAGAGAGATTCTAAGCATGAGAAGGACTCAACCCACTGTTGTTGGCTTAACGATGGAAAGGGCTTAATGGAAACTCTGTCAACAAAATGAGCTTGGAAGTGGATGTTCCCCAGAGCTCCCAATAAAAGCTGGAGGTAGACAAAACCTTGATGTTAATCTTGTGAGACCCTAAGCAGAGCCACGCTTGCTGACTTAGGGACTTCAGTGGTATGAGACAATAAATGGGTGTTGTGGCTGGTTCGGTGGTTCATGCCTATAATCCCAACACTGGGAGGTAGGAAGATCGCTTGAGCCCAGGAGTTCCACATCAGCTTGGGCAACATAGGGAAACTCATCTCTACTACTACTACTACTAATAATAATATAAATAAATTAGCTAGGTGTGGTGGCATCCACCTGTGGTCCTAGCTACTCAGGAGGCTGAGGTGGGAGAATCGCTTGAGCCCGGGGTGGTCAAGGCTGCAGTAAGTTGAGATTGCACCACTATGCTCCATCCAGCCTGGATGTCAGAGGGAGACCTCGTCTCTAAATAAATTAATAAATAAATAATAAATAAACGGGTGTTGTATTGAGCAGCTACACCTGTGGTCATGTGTAAGAATAAGTCATTTCCTGGCCGGGCGCGGTGGCTCACGCCTGTAATCCCAGCACTTTGGGAGGCCAAGACGGGTGGATCATGAGGTCAGGAGATTGAGACCATCCTGGGTGAAACCCTATCTCTACTAAAAAATACAAAAAAAGTTAGCCAGGCGTGGTGGCGGGCGCCTGTAGTCCCAGCCACTTGGGAGGCTGAGGCAGGAGAATGGTGTGAACCCAGGAGGCGGGGCTTGCAGTGAGCCGAGATCATGCCACTGCACTCCAGCCTGGGCGGCAGAGTGAGGCTCCATCTCAAAAAAAAAAAAAAAAAAGAAGAAGAAGTCATTCATTTTCTGTTCTTACAAATGGCCACAAAAGGAAACTTCTATGCCATGTGAACACGTTCTCAGGATCAGTACAGGAGGCAACCAGCAAGTCTGGGCAACTCTTCCTACTTTTTTTCCATCAAATTCCTTCACCTTCTTTAGAATGGACACAATGACTGTCAATCCTGAGAAACTTCAAGGTGCGCTACCTAGAATATCAACCAGCTCAACCAGAAGCTGATCCTGACACCTGCGTCCTACAGGAAGTTCTGATTTGCTCAGGCGGACAGGATCTCCCCAGCATCCCCTGGTGGTTGGAAACAGGGGGCTCAGGGGCTCAACAGTTAGAGGCTGGCCAGGAGCTAGGGAACTGGATAGGTATGAAGGGTTTGAAGCTTACCTGTTGGAAGGTTCTGGGGTGGAGGAGCCTGTGGAGGGAGCTTCAGAGAGCAGGAGGAACATTAGAAGGCTGGGCCCCCTGCAATCTAATCTTTATTGTGTAATGCGTTTCCCACCCTATCCCAGCCTAGCTTCTGCCTGGCGATCTCAGACCCCTGCAGGGAAGCTCCCCACTCACCCCTGCACCATCCTCGCTGTCACAGTGCCTGATGCCTCCAACCTGGAAGTGTGCCTGCCAATTGCCTTTCCCTGCCTGATTTCCAGCAGTCCCATCACAAGGCTCCAAAAACAGCATCGGGGTTTTTTTCTAGAACCCACATTTATAAACAAGGGGCAATGTCCTCTGACAGGGTTGGTTTGTGTTCAGTATGGTGGTAGCCAGGGCCACCTGGATTAGGAACATCTTGTGATCTGCTCCCTACTCCCCTGGGCCTGGCTTGCTGGGCCTCACACCCTCTCCACACCCTGCTCTCCCTGAGAATTAGATGCAGCCCCCATGTCACCAGCTGCTTACTGGGACCGCCCAGCCCAGGCCCACCTTGAATCCTCACCAGGTTCCCCACTCGGTGGACGCAGCGGCTGCTGTGTGTCCCATGGAGCCAGCCCATGGTGCTGGCAGAAGATGGAATGGTCGTCCTTCTGGGCTGGCCCCAGGTCACCCAAGCAGGCTTTTCTCCTCTCCTCACCTGCCTGGTGGTGCCCACCCGATGTGGGGCGGTCCATAGGGCTGCTGGAGCTGAGTGAGAGGGGCTCGCCCAGCAGCCTTTTCCCGTTGGTGCTAGTAGCCTTGGGCCTTCCCAGAGACTGCTGCAGGCCTGTCCTTAGCATGAGGCCATTGCTAAGGTGAAGGAGGAGCCTCTGTCCCCTCTTCCCTCCCTGGCTCAGCTCGCCTACTCCGGCATTGTGCTTGGTGAGGCCAGGTGTGCTTCCTCCCTTCCTCCCCAGGGCCTCTCCCCTTCGGTCCACACAGGAGCAGTTTCTCCAGGAAACTCTAACTCATTCCATTACCTTCCCCCAGTTGATCTTGGAAACCCCCTTGCTGTGAATACTGGCAAGCTTAGGAGCTTATTCCTCCCACCACGTCATCCAGCTCTTGATCAGCGTGCTCTGAGGGCTTTGTCTTCCAAGCTTTCGACAACCCTGGATGCTGGTTAGTCTTTGGTTGGCTCCAAGACGCAGTGTCACACAAGCAGCACCCTGTGGACCCGCTGAAGTTCCCATGGAGTCCTTTCTATTGAAAACTCGGCCTCTTTCAGGCCAAACACTGGCTCCCTTTTTGTGCATAGCTTTCTAACTGGCACAATTTCCCCAAAGATAATTGAGAATTATAGTGCTCACTTTGGGGAAACTCTGCTACAGACAAAACAAAAACAAAGCAAAATTCTGAATTTCCAAAGGTCTGCTGTCTTTAATTGGTATGAGGAGGCTCCTAAACACAATTTGGACTCAAAAAGTGCCTCTCTAAAATATTCTTTAGCTGTAACTAATATGAGCATCTTTTCTTTTCTTTGTGTTTTTTTTTTTTTTTTTTTTTTCTTTTTTTTGAGATGAAATCTCACTCTGTCACCCAGGCTGGAGTACAATGGCACCATCTCAGCTCACTGCAAACTCCTCCTCCCAGATTCAAGTGATTCTCCTGCCTCAGCCTCCTGAGTAGCTGGGATTACAGGCATGTACCACCATGCCCGGCTAATTTTTGTATTTTCAGTAGAGACACAGTTTCCTGATGTTGGCCAGGCTGGTCTCAAACTCCTGACCTCAAGTGATCCACCCACCTCAGCCTCCCAAAGTGCTAGCATTATAGGCATGAGCCACCGTGCCCGACCAAGCATCTTTAAATGTTGACATTTCCAATGCCCTTTCCATGTTTTGTGAAAGGCTTCAGGTTCAAAACTGTCCCTATGTTGGATAAACAAAAAAAGTTGGCTGGCAAATCACTCTATTGTATAAACATCAATATTTGGCTAAACTTTTTTTTTCTTTTTTTTTTTTTTGAGACGGAGTCTCGCTCTGTTGCCCAGGCTGAAGTGCAGTGGCGCGATCTCAGCTCACTGCAAGCTCCGCCTCCCGGGTTCACGCCATTCTCCTGCCACAGCCTCCCGAGTAGCTGGGACTACAGGCGTCCACCACCACTTCCAGCTAATTTTTTTTTTTGTATTTTTAGTAGAGACGGGGCTTTACCATGTTAGCCAGGATGGTGTCGATCTCCTGACCTTGTGATCCACCGGCCTCAGCCTCCCAAAGTGCTGGGATTATAGGCATGAGCCACCGTGCCTGGCCTTGGCTAAACTTTTTAAGGAGACTCTGGGTACCAAGAATAAAAGAACCCTCATGAGGAAAATCTTTGTCTTGTTTGCCTAAATGACAGATCATTTTGTTTCACAGGGAGGCATCACTTCCTTCCTTTCCGTATGTTGGAGATTAATACATTCTGACTTTTAAAAAAAGTGTATGGCTTGATAGAATTGTCAAGAACTGAAATTATGTCAAAACCAGATATAGGACACTCTCGTGTGTGTTTTGTATATATGTCTAAACTTTCATCCCTCTTCTTACAGAGAAAAATGATCAGTTATTTGTCTAAAGCCAGCTCCTTCTCATTTTTATCTATCCCACTTCCTCTCCTTTTCCCTCTTTTGAAAACGTGAAAGACTTAACAAAAATTACATTCAACTGTTATGCATATATTCTAGGAATTTTTAGTTCAGGTAAATTTAATCTAAATTGTCTTTAAAAAAAGTTATTGAACTATTTTTTTATGGACACTAAAAAATGTATTTCTCTGATAACCTTTTAAACTAGCTATGACATAAGAAAAGACGTCAACTTCAAAATAAAGGAAAACGTTACCATGATTCACTCTTTAATTATTAGTTTATCTTTTTAAAAAAATGTTAGTACAATATTTTGGTTTATTCCGGACCAAAATTAGATTTCTCAAATTTCCTACATTAATTTTATGTATGTATTTATTTTTTGAGATGGAGCCTTACTCTGTCCCCAGGCTGGAGTGCAGTGGTACAATCTCAGCTCACTGCAACCTCCTCCTCTCAGGTTCAAGTGATTCTCCTGTCTCAGCCTCCTGAGTAGCTGGGATTACAGGTGTGTGCCACCATGCCTGGCTAATTTTTGTATTTTTAGTAGAGATGGGGTTTTGCCATGTTGGCCAGGCTAGTCTCAAACTCTTAACCTCAGGTGACCCACCCGCCTTGGCCTCCCAAAGTGCTGGGATTACAGGCGGGAGCCACAGCACCGGCCTACATTTATTTTATAAATGAAATGTTTTCATCATTTCCATAATTTGTTTAAAATAAAAAATTTTGGCCTGGCATGGTGGCTCACATCTGTAATCCCAGCACTTTGGGAGGCCGAAGCAGGTGGATCACTTCAGGCCA